GTCTTAAAACCACACATACTTATCACTCTCTCAGAGTCCTGCAGGAAGACGTCCTACAGAGGTCCCACAGGCTCAAATCAGGTCTCAGCAAGGAATGGTGCCTCCTGAGGCTCCAGGGGAGAATCCATTTCTTTTCTTCTCCAGGTTGTAAGGCCACCTGAACGTCTTGGCTCCGGGTTCCTTCCTCCTTCTTCAAAGCCAGCAGCAGTAAGCCAAATCACATTCATCCCTCTTGATCTCCTCTTCTGCCAACTTCTTTCATTTGTAAGGACCCTTGAAGTCATAGTGGATTCTGCCCAGGTAAGCCAGGATAATCTCATAAAGTCAGTTAATTAACAACCTTCATTTCATCTACAGTCTTAATTCCCCTTTGCCATGGGCAGACAATGTGTTCACAGGTTCTGGGGACTCAAGTGTGGACATCACCGGGGAAGGTCCATTATTCTGTGAACCACAGGGATCCTTGTGAGAAAAATGAATAAAAGGTGTACAGACTGAGAAGGAAGAAATAAAGCTTACTTTATTCACAATGTCTACATGGGAAAATCCAAGGGATGTTCAGAAAGCTACTAGAATGAACAAGTGAGTTCAGGAAGGTTGTAGGATACAATCCCAATTTACAAAAATCCATTGCTTGCTGGGGGTGCCTCAGTGGTAGAGTGTTTCCCTAGCGTGCTTGATCCCTGTTCAGATTCCAGCACTGCAAAAGAAAAAGATTGAAAACTTCCTTTGTGTCACTATATATTAGAAGTACAGTAAAAGTCGGGTATTTTCCTATTATTAAAAATACAGTGAGGGCTGAGTTCTAGAGTGCTTGCCTAGCATTAGTGAGGCACTGTATTCTATCCTCAGTGTCACATAAAAATAAAGGTATTTGTCCATCTACAACTAAAAAATATATATAAAAATTCAGTGAAAGATTGCAAAGTTAGTTCTTAAAGTTCCATTTATGATGATATAAAAATATTGAGAAATTAATTAAACAAAAGATACACAAACTGTAAAACAATCCTGGAGAAAATTAAAGAAGACCAAAATAAATGGACATACCATGTTCATGAACAATATTTTAATGCTCTACAGTTTCCTAGAATTTATAATTAATTTAGAGATTTGGTACAATCTCAATTTCTCAGGAGGGTTTTTGTGTGTGTGTTCTAGAAATTAAAAGCTAATTATGAAATTTGCATGAAATGCAAATGACCTAGAACACTTTCATCTGTGGTTGACATACTTTTGGTGAAGGAAAATGAGGTTTGAGGACTTTCAGTATTGATTTCAAGATCAGCTATAAATTGACATCATCAAGACATTGTGGTATCAAAGCCTGGGGAAACAGACCTAGAGGTCAATGGAACACATGAGAGGGTTCATAAATAGACTCACTCACATAGCATCAATTTTTTTTTGACAAAAATCCCAAAGAAATTTTGCTGAAGTCATTGGACATTTCATGTAAAGATATAACAAAACAAACTCAATTCTTACTTCACACCATAGAAGGAGCCCAATTTGAAAGGGGTCATAACTCTAAATGTAAAAGTTAAAATGATGAAACGTCTGGAAGAAAACACAGGTGAAAATCTTGGTCAAATGTTTAAGCAAAGTTTTTTTTTTTGGACTGGGGCTTGAGCCCAGAGGCACTTAACCACTGATCCATATCCCCAGCCCTTTTTTATTTTGTATTTTGAGACTGCATCTTGCTTAGGGCCTCACTAAGCTGCCCAGGGTGGCTTTGAACTTGTGATCCTCCTGCCTCAGCTTCTGGAGTAGCTGGAGTTACAGTTCTGCCCCACCACTCCCAGATAACAGGAAAACTCAGACATGCATATTTATAGCAGTCTTATTCATAGTGATTAAAAGCTAAAAGCAACCCCTATACCCATTAATGGCCAGCGAGTGAACAAACCACTGCATACCCACACTGTGGAATGCTATTCAACAATGAAAAAGAACAAATTACTGAATCATCTAACAACATAGATAGAACCCAAAAGCATTCTGCTCCTTGGGGGTGAAAGCCAGGCAACATATCACACACAGTGTGATGCCATTGTCATGTGATTCTAGAAGAGAAAAAGTTAGTGACAAGAGCCATCCGTGGTTTGGGAGTGGGGAGTGGGTTGTAGTCAGGAAAGGGGACCGAAACAAAATATTAGGAGTGAACGATAGGGACAATGGATGTGGCTGTATAACAGGTGTGGTGACTGTTACAAAACTATGAGAACTTGTTAGCACTCTCGGAATTATATGCTCAAACGTTATTGAATATTATTTTGTATAAATTATACCTGAATAAATCTCAAAATCAACTGGAGAAAAGAAATATTATTAAGGCAAATTCCCAATTTAGAGCAACTAACTAGGCAGTTGAAAGTAGGATAAAGTTTGGAGGATCACATTAAATTATAAAGGTTTGTACTACAAACAATAAACGCCATAAAGCAGAAATTTAAAGGTTTAAGAGGCAAAATGAAAAACTGGGGACACAGCACCACCTAGTGGTCGAGTCGCGCATTTACAGCATCATTCCGGCTCATGGCTGCCAAACAGGCGCTGTTGGGAGAAGGCTGTAATCTATTTAGACACAACGTGGTCCACTTAATGCCCCAAATTAACTTTGTAACATTTACTACCTACTAATAATAAAAAAATTGAGCTAATAAATAGAGAGCATTACCTATCTTTGAGTAACAAAGTCTACTTTAAAGTCATATTCATCTTAATTAGAAACAAACACACACACCCCCGCTGTTATCAATATTGCTATTGAACATTTTCTAGAAGTTTCATCCAAAGAAAAAGATTAAAAGTAAATAAAATAGAGATGAGATGAATAATTACGTAAAAGGAGTAAATTAAATTATCTCCAATGGAGGACAGTGGAATAAAAAAAACACACAAGAGAATCTTCTTAAAATACTTGTAATGCATAAAGTAATCAGATATAAGATTAAAGGATAAAAACGCCAAATTAACATTCATGTAAAACTCTTGTAATGAAATCAGTGCATTTCATTGTATATAAATTACACCTCAATAAAGTTTACTTTAAAAGGTGAAATGAATCACAGAAGTTTCAAATGGAGAAAATTCCTTCAATACTAACAACAAAAATGTATTCAATGCCTATCTGTGATCCTAAAGGCAAAGAAAACATCAAGTATACTGAGTGGGAAACCAAAAAAGTTTATGCAGTGAGACATACATTATTTCTTAATGGAAAAACGGGGGGAAGTTCAGGGGTCTCCTCTTCAATGTATCTTACATGTTTTGTGGAACTCAAGGCAAAATCATTACAGCATTGCTCTTAGGGCTTGCTAATGTAATTGAAGTTGATCTGAATACTGTGTGTATGTGTGGGCACCCATAATAGCACTCATGGTGTGGAAGTGTTTTTTATTTTCTTTTGCACTCTGTATTTTGGGGCATTCTGTTGAATGCATATTTTTGCAAATTGCCTGCTTGCCGACAGAATCCCCCTTTGGAAATGTGTTCCTGTGATAGAAGGCAGTACTCCGTTGCAGGCACATACCTGGTTTACTTGTACTCCTGTGCATTGAGATGTTTTCTGTTTTATGATTCCTTAAAACACTCCTCTCTTCTGTCCTAGTGCATAGGTGCATACAACTGGGAGCAGGTTTGCTAGGTCAGGGGCATGTGCACATTCTGCCTCACACACCAGGAGCAGCTAGGCAGTGACACCCCACCCACTCAACCAATAGCCATGAAATTACCTCCTGTTGAAAGCTGATTAATGCTACGGACTGAATTGTGACCTACTGCCACCAAATCAATATGTTGAAGCTCTAATCTCCAATGGGATGATCTTTACAGGTAAGGCCTTTGAGATGTTATAGGGTTAGATGAGGTCACAAAGGTGGGGCCCCAATAATGATATTAGTGGCCTTATAAGGAGATGAAGATGTAAAAATACCAGAACAGTTCCCCTCCCCCTCCCCCCCCCCACATTCATGGTGAGACAATGGCCATCTGAAATCCAAGAAGAGAGCCCTGGCCAGAAACCAACCCTGCTGCCATCTTGATCTCAGACTTCTAGCCTCCAGAACTGAGAATATTAATTTCAGTTATTTGAGCCACCCAAACTATAATCTTTTGGTTTTCATTGAGGGGGCTAGCAGGGATTGAACCCAGAGGCACTAGACCACTGAGGCACATCTGCAGCCCAATTTTGTATTTGATTTAGAGACAGGGTCTCACTAAGTCTCTTAGCGCCTCTGTTTTACTGAGGCTGGCTTTGAACTCATGATCCTCCTGCCTCAGCCTCCCAAGCTGCTGGGATTACGGACGTGCACCGCCACATCTGGATGATATTTTGTTATGGCAGTGTGAGCAGACTAATACAATACACCTCAACTAGGAAACTATATATTTTGATGGTAATGGCAAAAAATTTGTTGCCTTAGTTCATAAATTTTTCCCCAAATAGTTTTTTTATTTCAATTGTCATTTATTTCACAGAAAGTTGAGTTCATCAATCTGAATTGGAGTGACATTCCTGCATTAATATTATTTTTAAAATTATGTTAATATTCCAGGCCTTGATACATTCAACTTTTTATAGTTTTACAGTAAGAAATGTTGCAGTACTTTCTACTTTTGTCCGTTGGTATTACCAATATCCTCTACTTGTGCATTAAAAAATAATAATAATTACAAAACATTGTAAAATTCTAATTTAAATCTCTTATATTACTTGGATAATCTTTATTATGACTTTACTGTGGGTGCTATCATTGGCTATATAAGATTACAAGTTTTATATTTAAAAGTAATTAATATAGTATCATCTAGTTTTAACAAAAGTCACCACAACTTCATAGAGAATGTTTTCCCTTCTTTGGGGGAAAAAAAAAAACAAAAACTAATTCCTTCTTCTAGTTAAGCTATCTTCCAGAGTGTCAATAACTTTCTGAGATTTACTGTAGTTGTTTTCTTATAGATTGTAGAAATAAATAAAGACATACACTTTCATCTTCAAAAAAAATCCTTTTTTAATAAGTTTTTCCCCAAGAGTAAATGACAAATTTTTTATCATATGTAACTGATTCATAATTCTGTCTTATGATTTCCCATTGATGATTATAATTTTTTTATATTTGAATTATGAATTTACCAGGATATAGTTGCCCATTCTGATAAAAAATGTTCAGTACTTTCACCTTTTAATGACTTTGAAGTAAGATTTGCATTCAACGTTTACATAATTAACAACAAAAATACACTAATTTTTTTCTGAAGACAAAGTTATTTCATTCTAGAAATAGACATTATCTGCTTCATTGTAAGTTATTGCAGTTTTCAGATTTTTTTTTTTTGGTACATTTTACAAATTCATTCCAAAACCCTTCACCAGAAATATAAACCTTTCGTTAATACTTTTAAAAAGCACCAAATATTCTTTCAGTTTCATTTTTCCCCCTTGAAATATAGCCTTCTGGAACCCTTTGCCAGTTATTCCCTTTTCTGTTCCCAAGGCTACTGTCCCCTGTAGTCTCAAGATACCATGTGTTTAGGGACATCCTTTTGACCTTGATCCAGTATCCTCTTGATATATTCCTTTGTTTTGCTGGAGTACATTCCACAGTAACTTTCTGAGAAAAGGTATTTGTAAAGTGAGCTCCTCAGGAACTTGCATGACTGAAAACACAATCTGTTCACCCTTCCCTTGAGTGCTCAGCCTCCTGGGACTAGCCAGGGTCTAAGTGAGACACGGATTCCCAGTCTTGGGACTCAAAACACCTCTTATTTCATGTGGAGTGTCTAAGGTTCTTGGCTCTTAGCTTGAGATCCTTTTTCCTCACTGTAAGATTTTGGGATCTTCCTCCATCTGTGCATTTTGACATTTTAGGATCTGTGCTTTGGGGAGGGTCTTTTTTCACTCTGCAGGGAACTCAGCAAGTTCCCTCCGACTGGAAACTCAGGTTTGGCAATGTACTTCTTGGTTTCCCTGATCCCCACGGGATGGATTCCTCTGTTCAGGTGCCTGACACCCTGGGGTAATCCTCTCATGCTCTCTGCTTTTCTGTCCCACTTCCCTTCATTTTCTATTTGTTACCTGGGAGATGGTTCTATTCTTCTTCCATCACCTCCACTAAGATTTTTATTTCTATGTTCATATTTTTTAGGATTTAAGACCTGTTTTCATTCCAAGAATATCTCTTTTTGTTTTTCCTTTTTTTTTTTAATTTCTTAGGGATAATATTTCCCTTTATTTTTTGAGGATAAAAGCAGGTTTGGGGAATTTTAATTTTCATCTTTACATAGTTTTCCTCTTTTCTCCCTTTTTTTTCCCCCCTCTGTTTTGCACTTGAACTTGATCTCTTCTCCTCTTGTCAGGAGCTCTCTTTCTTCAAGTCTCTGATTGTTGGCTGCATGTTCTTAAAAGAATGTACTGAAGAGCTGATAGGAACACCGGGGGTGGGCGGGGGACAGGCAGGTGCCTGGGGGTTCCAGAAGGTAGCTACGAGTCACCTGGGCCATTTCACCCAGGATTTTCTTTTGTCTTGGGCTGGAATTTCTCTGGAGACCGTTGGGTCCCTGACCTGGAGGTGTGTGCATGGATGCCGATGTTCCTGGGGAAGATGAGCAGCACAGGTCAGCTCCTAGGCAGACCCCAGGGCCCTGCTGCTCCATCGACTCAGCTGCCCTCAGCAGGGAGTGGACAGGCAGGCTTGTGCAGGTCAAGGGCAGCACGGTGTGCTGCAAGGCCCTGGGACTCGGGTTTGCAGGCTTCCCATAGGAGCTCCCTAACAGTCCCGAGTGCAGCATCCCTGACTTCCAGGATACAGGTGCTGGAGGTCCTGGGCCTTCCTGGCATCTTCCGCTGCACCAGGCTATCCCAGAGCCTGCCCAGTGCAGGAGAAAGGTCCTGCTCTCTCTGTGACACTGAATCCTTTACCCTTGTCTGTCTCATCTCCAGCACCCAAGATGCAGTGACCTCTGCCCTTCTCTCTGCCCTTGTGGATCTGTGCCTTCTTTTCAGGCTTTCTCCATCTTCAGTAACTTTGGGAAGAAGATCAAAGTCAAAGTTAGTCCAGTCCTTTGTTTTCATAATTTGGATAGCTCATAATACCTTGCATTGAGATCATTTGACTTTCCTAAAATGAACAGATATATATATTATTAATTTCAAAAAAAGTGGTGGGCTTACTTGTGTTCTTAGTTGAATATTGGAGACAATTGTTACTTGAAAATTGAGCCATCCTAGGTATAGTGACATAGGCCTGTACTCCCAGCAGTTGAGGAGGCTGAGGCAGGAGGATCACAAGTTTGAGGCCAGCCTCGGCAATTTAACAAAGCCCTAAGCAACTTAGAGATATCCTATCTCAAAATAAAAATAAAAAGATAGGGAATGTAGCTGAGTGGTAAAGCAACCCTGAGTTCAATCCCCAGCACAAAATAAATTAAAAGTTGGATCATTAAGGATTGAAAATGATAAACACTTATTCTGTCAGAATAGGCAGTGGCAAAGTTGATGGTCCAAATATAGAAAACCTGTAATCATCAATGAGAAGATCTGTAGCAACATGAATCAGTAACATATGAGAAATCCTTTGGAAATAAACTTATCAAATAATAGTATCAAATTAACATTTGGAAGGTATCATCACAACTTAAAAGTTTATGGTGTAGTTAAAAAATAACTTGGTCATTTTGGGCATAACACATTTATTCAAATTTTAAAAACAATAATTTTGAATTGTGGGCAGTATCACTGCAGTCTCAATTTTTGCAAAGTTTGTTACAAAATATATATTTGACTGAAATAAGGAAACAATGGGGAAGCTATTACATTAAGACAGTAAATTTTCGGGCTGGGGATATGGCTCAAGCGGTAGCACGCTCGCCTGGCATGCGTGCGGCCCGGGTTCGATCCTCAGCACCACATACCAACAAAGATGTTGTGTCCGCCGAGAACTAAAAGAAATAAATATTAAAAAATTCTCTCTCTCTCTCTCTCCTCTCTCTAAAAAAAAAAAAAAAATCACTTTTAAAAAAAAAAAAAAGACAGTAAATTTTCAATCCTAACTTGGGAAGTTTCCAATCTTTGGCTAAAAAAAATTTTATAATTTACTTAAATTGTAAAATCTAATATTTTAAAGCTAACTTCCTGGGTTTGAGATGTTAAAACTCTATATCTCAAATAAATTTTTTAAAAAACTATATATCTCACTTTACTGTCAGTGTTCATAAAACATGGTTCCAGTGAGAAATAGTTAAACACACACCTGCTGTAGTTTGGCCCCAGAGAGTCCCCTAAGGCCCCTGGCTGAAGGCTTTGGGGCCAGCTTGTGATGCTACTGGGAGGTGGTGGAAGCTTTAGGGGGCGGGGCCTAGTGGGAGGAAGTTAGGTCATAAAGAGGGTGCTCTTAAAGGGGAAGTTAGGGCTCTGGCCCTTCCTCTCCTCTCACTTTCCCAGGTACCATGCCACGTGCCACTGCCATGATGCTCTGTTTCACCAGAGGTCCAAAGCAACAGGGCCCAGCAGCTATGGGCTGAAATCTCTGACACCATGAGCCAAAATATACCTCCCTTCCTTATAAGTTGATTTATCTCAGGAATTTGTTACAGCAACAGAAAGCTGATTCACAAGATGTCTTATTTGGTGTTGTCTTGATGGCACAATGTAACATTTCAGTCCAGCTGGATGGTAGGGAAAAAATTAAGTTGGTTTAATTTATTACTAGCCACAAAGCTGGATTTATTTATCTCTGAAAAGTACAGTAAAAACTATAAGTCAGCTAACTTCCTTTATACCTCTTCACAATAAGCTTTATTTTTTCAACCACCTATCAAGTAAGCCTCAGAGAAGATTAAATAATTCATGTAGAGAAAGGGAATTAAAATAATGAAAACTGGAAAACTATTTGACTCACAGGGTAATGCTGCAAGGCATTATAGGACCATGCAGATTCACCCTAGGAAAGATTGTGACGTGGGAGAAAATAAACATTGGAAAATTTGAAAACTATTTTAAGGACTTAGCTTGACTTAAAAAAAAGTCTCCATTGTTAGAGCTAACAGATTAAGCTGAGGAACAGTAAACGCAATTAAACATATAAATCAGAATAAATATATGCATGGAAATACAGCAGAATCTATCAAGTCCTGAAAGACGTGAGACTGCAAATGAAGCAAGCAAAATCAAATATCTAGTCCAGGAGAAAACCCGTTCGGTTCTCTGAATGTGCTTTGCAAACCACGCATGTGCTGTGTGGTAACAAGACTGGGAAACACAGAGAACTCAAAGTTTTCTTTCCAACTACTGAATCATAAAAGTTGACCACATAGCCATCTGTGGATAGAAGGTGAGCAAGAAGGCATCAGATGAAGACCACCAAGCAAAACTTTCACTCATTCAATAAACCATGTTCAGTGATCTTGGCCATCTGGGAACGGTGTCATAGGGAGCCACAGCTGGGTGAATTCACCAGGTTGGTTCAGCACAGGCTGAGCCAGGTTCCTTCCAGGAGGAAAGCAATGGAGGCTAGGTCTCTGTGAGAGGCCCACTCAGTTAAGGTGGAGGTCCATCAGCTAAGATGGAGGTCAAGAGGTGTTTCGTGCAGCCTCCTACGTCCAGTCAAGACTCAGAAATGGGCCCCATTGAGGACCTGGACCAAACCAAGGATTGTATCCGTAAAATCAAATCTTCAGCAGATGACTCGAATGTTCTTAGAATGTTTGGCTCCGTGTCTGTGCGACTGATTTCACCCTTTGACATACAACTTTATTTTGTTTTATTTTGGGGTGCTGGGGGTAGAATCCAGGATCTCACACATGCTAGGCAAGCGTTCTACCACTGAGCTACCTCCCCGGCCCAAATGCGATTTTTAATAGAGAGTTGAGTCTATTGCGAAAATAAAAGAAAGTCAGTTTTTAATCTTGAGCGTGCAGGGTGATCCACCCATCCACTTGCCTTGCCATGGGGGTTGGCAGACCTGTGAACAGCCCTCTTGCGCTGGGGTCTGGCCAGCTAACGCACTATACAGCCCTGGTGTGCCACCTGCCCTCCCCAGCGCTCCTTAGCCACTCCTCACGGCGCTGCCAATTCCCACTGACCTCCAGGTGCCCGTTCAAGGGCCTCTTCCCTTCCCCTCCACCACAGCCTGAGCAAGCTTCATCCCATTGGGAATACGGAGGTGGTACCAAGGCCCCTCCAAGCCTGCTCTTGTCCTCAGAGCACAGGGAGGCTGCCTTCTCCAAAGCCTCCGTTCCACACCTGAGAGTTGGGAATCCTTCTACGGGCTCTGTCTTCCTCACCTACCCGACTTGGTGGGTTTCCAAGCCCTGTACAGATTTCTGACTCCTGCTCTCAGCTGTCCTTCCTGTCACTCAGACGAGGCAGAGTCCCCTGGTGCTCTGTGCCCAACTGCTCACCGCAGTATCCATTCTGTGGCCTAAGTCACCCTCAAAACCTGCACATCTGTCTGGACAAGGTGAGTGCCCGATTGTCCCCTGTCAACGAGGTGGGTCTGGAAGTGGCATTCCCCAGCTGTCTCAGTGTTTGTGCTGCTGTAAGAGGGTCACAGACCCCGGGGTGACTTACAATGAACAGACAGGTATGTGGCTCACAGTTCTGGAGGCTGGGAAGTCCAAGATCAAGGAGCCACGGCCAGCACGGGCTCCTTCTGCCTCCTAACCCGTCAGAAGGCATCCCCCAGGGAGACACACAAGAGGGGACGGGGGGAGGGCCCACACTCGCCCTCCTGCCTGGACCCCACTCCCACCATAGTGACTTCCATCCACTCCCAGGGCGGAGCCCCCAGGCCTCATCACCTCCAGGCTCCCACCTTCCTGCCCCGGAGCCTTAGAGATTAAGTTCAGGGACACTTCCAGACCAGAGTGCCACCGCTCCCTTCCCCGAGGGGGCAAGGTTGGCTTTCTCCAGCAGAAGGGTGAGACCCGTGAGGCCAGGACCCCCTGAAGGTCTTTGTGATCAGATAACATGACACACAGTTGAAGAGATTCCAGAAGCTTCCAGCTGCCCTTCTCTGTCCTCTGCTGACATCAGATACTTGGGGGCAAACTTGCCCAGCAGGAGCCAAACAGAGGCAGCAGATTTGTAGGGTCCCCTCTGCAACCATCCTAGGGTTTTACACCCCTGGCTGAACCCCGGCCTAAACAAACCACTCTCCTAGTTACATGAGAGCTTTGTAGAATATTTGAGATCCCCTGAAGATACCCGTGCTCTTTGGGGAGGCAGGGGGAGCACTCAGCCACTGAGCCAGATCCCCAATCCTATTTTGTGTTTTATTTAGAGACAGGGTCTCACTGAGTTGCTGAGCGCCTTGCTGAATTGTTGAGGCCGGTTTTGAACTTGCCATCCTCCTGCCTCAGCCTCCCAAGCCGCTGACATGACAGGCGTGCAACACCAGTTCTGGCTGATACAGCTGCTTTTCTTGCTGTCCAGAATTCCCAACTCCATTTGGCTGGACATTTGGTCTCATGCTTCAGAGTCGCAGGTTGCTCTGCTGGGCAGGAGCTGAAGATCCCAAGCAGGCCGGACTCCTGAGCACCAGGCAATGGACCTGTTAACATTCAGGGTGTGGCCTTGATCTCACTGAAGAGGACTGGGAATGCCTTCAGCCTGCTCAGAAAAAAACTTATATAGAGATGTGATGTTAGAGAACTATAGGAACTTGGCCTTCCAGGCCAGGACTCCTCATCATACCCAAGAATATTCACCAGAAAAGGGCATAAAACATATATTTCACAAAGTGATAAGTGGGAAATATAGAAATTGTGATCTTGACTATTTACAACAAAAGAAAATACGGAAAACTACAAGTGAGAGTGAACACCAGAAATCATATCAAAAATCAGTCCCTGTTCACCACCAGAGAATTTATACTGGAGAGAAGCCCTACAAATATAAACAATGTGGCAAAGATTTTAGTCAAAAAAAAAAAAAAAGGTCTTATTTACCACAGAAGAACCCACACTGGAGAGATGCCCTACCGATGGGCAGAATGTGATGAAGTTTTTAAAGGAAAATCAATCTT